GCTGTTCATTCTCGCCGAATAGGAAAAGACCGCAGAATTGAATTCTATTGATTTCCCAATTTCTTAACTCTACTGAAAAGAAAATGTACTTCTTAAACAAAGTTTTAATAATGCTTCTTTTGCCTGGAATTAATGATAATTGTAGAAAATATTAGTACTTACTGAAAAAGAAAATCTTCTTGAGATACAAATAAGTGCTTAATCTATCCTAAGGATATGGACTATATAGTGAGAAAATTTTATTTCTAGGCTACTTATCATTTGGAAATCTACTTCAATTTTTTTATTTAAATTGAATACTTACTATTAAGCTAGGTGCTATTATCGCAACTTCTTTAGTATCTGCAACTTAATCCTATTGTAATAATAACTGCAATATCTTCCAAAGAAACAAAAAAAGTTTATAAACATTAAATTGCTAATTCTTTAAACTTTCTTGTGAGGACGATTAACAGTTTACTCATACAGATACAGTCATCCAAGGACTCCATACCTTGACAGAAGAGTATCAACTCTTATTTCCGTAATTATCAGCTTGATTAATAGTTTAAAAGATTATAGGTGTTTTGAAAGTCAGTTATAAAACACATTCACTGCCTATAAAGGAATATGTGTAAATGTGTCTGTAACTTGATCAAAACTGTGCACTGGGGAAGGAAGTTTTTAAAATATTTTAGGGCTCTTTTCTGTAATAGAAAGAATATATAATTGATATCTGTAGACAATTTTTTTCTGGTGATTACTAGGAAATTGTTCTCTTTAAACTTTGGTAATTATTATTAATTAAAATTATTATTGTAGGTAGATGTTGGTGAGGAGTCTGTGTTTCTTCTTAAGGCTACTATTTATTTCAGCAGAACGAGGAATGGTTGTGTTGGGAGATCCTTAGAAAATTCTGCCCTTGGTCATTTGCCCACTTCTCCTTAGTAAAGAAAGACCTCCATGGTTCAGAAATGTCAAAACAGAGGAAACTCTAACCAGCAGAAGGTTGAATGATCAGTGTAGATGTGTCTGGTTATTATACAGTGGTGTTACTTTGAATGCAAGCTCCATGGGGGCAAGGATTTTTGACTGTTTTGTTTATCATTATATCCCTAGCACCTAGCACAGTATTTGACATGGGGAGTATTTGACAGTATTTGACTCAGAGGAGTCCCTGAATGTGAAAAAAAAAATCATTTTTTATATTGAAGAAATACTAGGAAAATCTGCTAGTGATATTCCCAAAGCAAGATCGGTTATATTTAAGACATGTAGTGACAGTGTCATAAAATTGAAGATACACAATTATTATACCAGATTTTTTTTAAGAGAAAAGGGAGAATGCTATAACTTATACACAGTAATGTTATAACTTATACATAGTAAGCTGTATGCCAATTCTAGAGAAAATGTAGGGAACTTTTTGTTTGTGAGCACTTATAAAAGCATTTGCTATTACAAAAAATAAATATACATATGTGTGTGTGTATAGACATCACACACACACACATCACTAGTAGTGAGACATTAGCTATCTTCATTTACCCCCTGAGTTCATGAAGTTGCATTAGCAGTAATTACAGCTATTAGGAAGTGGATTCATAAATTTAGTAGCACAACTGGACTGTGCAAAGAGGGCAGTGAGAATTCAGTTCAAGCACTGAAAGCAATTTCCTCTCCTCCTGGTATTATATACAAATGGGAAGAGTGGGTGAAAACATAAGAGCAATAGCAAATTACACTATATGTGCTTTCATTTTCCTTTTTAACTTTGAAGAATTCACCACTCTGTAGACAAGAAGCACTAGCAAAATCAGGTCTTGTGTTTATACCCTTAAACAGAACACTGTTAATATTCATAGAATTATTCTCTCAAAAAATAGTCCTACAACATTAATTGCCATTTGAGCCTCCATTATCATAAGGTGCATGGTTATAACATAGCTTGACCTGCTACCAGAAACACTCCACAAAGACAATTATTAAAATAATTGACTGTAAATTATAGGCTAGACAGCCTAGGTCCATCTGGAGATAAACCACACAACAAGAGTGGGAAAGTTTAACATAAAAGTTTATTAACTATAATAGGATTTGAGTAATGAGGGATTGGTTAGAAAGGAAGAAGGAAAGTGCTCTAAACAATAGCATAGGAAGAGCGGATATAAAGAACAGTCACCACCACTGGGGAAGTGTTTAAGGAAAAAGTCTCCCAGGGTTGAAACCTGGATCTTGCTGCAGAGTGAAGCCATGGCTCACAGAATGTCAGAGATATGGAAGAACTTTCTGGAAATGCACCCTCTAGGATGCCAGGCAAAGCTGTCGAAAGGGAGGTATTCCACGTCACTCAGTCGTGTCCGACCCTTTGCAACCCCATGGACTACATAGTCCATGGAACTCTCCAGGCCAGAATACTGGAGTGGGTAGCCTTTCCCTTCTCCGGGGATCTTCCCAACCCAGGGATCGAACCCAGGTCTCCCACATTGCAGGCGCACTCTTTACCAGCTGAGCCACAAGGGAAGCCCTGCTATAAAACCACCCCAGGGAATTCCCCGGGAAAGCTGCAGCCGCAGGGTGCTGAAGCAGCCTGGCTCCCAGGACTAACTAGGTGGTGGAGAAGCTGTGGGCACTGTTGGAGTCTATCTGAACTGCAGCAGCCTGCCTTGAAAGCACACCAAGCCCAGTAGAAATGACCCTTCCTCCTGAAAGGGTTCTCCCACACACAGCACCTTCTACTGACAAAGCTCAACAGCACAGCTGCTGTCAAGAGAAAGGTATGTAAATTGCCCATCTTCCTTTTTATAGACACAATTATGAGTGGATTTGGAGCTGAGACAATAAATGGATAATTGGCACATAAGCCATTATTCTTGCATATCTTGTGTGAAAGCAAAATACCATATCCTGGATACTCTTGCTGGATGTTTGATCAACTGTTTAATTTCTAAATAACTTTGGTAGAAAATTATTGAGGGAATTTCCTGGTGGTCCAGTGGTCAGGACTCCAGTCTTCTACTGCAGGGGGCGCGGGTTCAATCCCTGATCAGGGAGCTAAGATCCTGTAAGCTGTGGGCATGGCCAAAAAGGAGAAAGTAAATTGTTCAGAAATTAAAAAGGACACTCATGCTTTCTGTTGTGTAGGGTGCTATGCGGTCCTGTTTCAGACCTGTTACTTGCGTTCCCCGCTGTCGCTCTCAAGCGCTGTCTGACACGACTGCAGATGTAACTTGCAGCTCACCTGCCATGAATGATGACCTGCAGTGGGTACTGTGAAGCTGGCATAACAACATGCATCAATCCTTTTCCTTCCTTCCCCCCTCCCTCTCTTCTTTCTAACAAGAAATGTCTGAGTGCCTGTTATGGGGTACACAATGGTACAGATAAACAACACAGTAAAAATCTCTGCCCTCACGGGGAGCCCAAGTTTTGATGGGAAAAGCAACAAAATAAATAAAAATATATACAATTTTGGTGACAATTAGGGATATGCACTAAATAAAACAGGGAAAGGTAGATATAAGTGTTAAGGATGGAAGCAGCTTGAAATAAGGTGGTCAGAGAAGGTTTTACTAAGAATGTAAATCTCAGCTTAATCTAAGAGTAATTTAGCATCGTCTCTTGACTTAAAGTACTAGGATATGCTATTGAATTTTCACGGCCAATTTATCCACAGTAATGCCAATTACAAGAACTGACTTTAGCTTTTCACTTCTTGAGGTGGCTGGAGCATCAAATTTCCACAGACCTTTAAACTAATTTATATTCTAAAACATATAACTCAGTGTTTTGCCAACGAGATTTTTTAAATCCAGAATTTGATGGCAAATAAGTCTTTTAAAACAAATAACCTCAAAGAAGTAAAGATACTAGAAGAAACAGTAAATTTATTATTTTTATTAAAGTATATCAATACCCAGAAATAAAGGGCACATTATAACTATGGATACAAAACAGTAAGCCAAAGTTTCACTTAAAGTAGAAAAGTTTAAACTGTTTTAACTATGTCAATGAAGACAAACTAAAAATGTGTTCACTGTAAATACCATTGCATGTAACGTATGAATATAAAACCTTAAAATCTTCTGCTTTAAAGTGTTAAATAACTACAGGTAACTAAATATGTTCAGGAGGCTTTGGGCAGAAAAGTCAACTACTTAGGGTCAGCTGGAAAAATCAAATAATTCATTGTGCTACATTTCTGTTTTTTGTGTTTTTTTTTAATGTATTGTGGGTTTGCTTGTAAAGGTGTTAACTCACCCAGTTTACTGTGTAAGGTAAAAGGACAATATTATGATTTATACTTGCTACATTCCAGAATCTTTGGAGAATTTACCTTTGAAGGAGACTTTCTAAAATAGGGAAATCCGTTTTAAAATAGAGGCACAAAGTCCTCGAAATAGTTTTGTCACTCCCTCAAAACAGATGCATATCTGAGATCTGTTCATAATATGTGAGGGCTTTCCTGGTGGCTCACCATCCTCAGGTAAAGGATCTGCCTGCAGCGCAGGAGACCCGAGTCTGATCCCTGTGTTGGGAAGATCCCCCGGAAAGGACATGGCTACCCACCCCAGTATTCTTGCCTGGAGAATTCCATGGGCAGAGGGCCTAGTGGGCTACAGTCCATGTGGTCACAAAGAGTCGGACACGACTGAGCAACTAACACTTTCACTTTTTCTACAATATGTGAAAAAGAGGATCATAGTAATAAAGCTCCTTTTTGTAAATAACTAGGTATGATAGAGTGACATACTCATGGGAAGCCAAATAAACATGTTACATGTATAATCTATCATTGCCTTACATAATACCCCTCATTTAAAAGACTGAATTCCCTTCACTGATTTATTTTGGATACAGCAAACTAGTACGATTTAAGAGAAAACAAAATTGATGCTCAATGCCCTTCTGTAGATGTGCCAGAATATACATGTTTGCACTGTAACCATATCACTACAGGCAACAACATATAACTACAGACAAAAATAAACTATCCATAAGGAATAAGTTCTATTTAAGGCTTCATGTTCACAGCATTTAATGGCTGAAAACTAAATAACAATAACAAAGGAAAATGTATTTAAATAAATACTTACACGTGACCAGACAAGGTTTACCCAGCAAATCCTCAGCAATATTAACTATAAAGACAATATGATACACCAGTCTCATATTTAAGAGGATTCTGTCTGCCTTGTTAGGCTTCAGACAGCTTACTGTAGGTTGATTATACTTATGCTACTTCTTAACAGATGGAAAGTTCATAGCTTTGCACATGATGACATCTTGTCAGGCTATAAGCAATCTTAAAACATAATTTGCATTTATCGCTTCTAATTTTTGCTCCTGCCAGCATAAGAAAGCCTGCTTTTTCAAATGCACAGATGTGCTCAATGTGCACTTTCCAACTTACTTATAGAAAAATGCTTCTCTCTATAATGTGTATCTAAGAAGAGCTCAGGATTTTCTTACTAAAATCTACAGGGCAATGATATTTTCAAAGTCATGCAAGTCTACTTGAAAGCCTTTAATTCTATCTTAATTATTAAAATTAATTTTAAGTGCATTTTATTCTTAATAATTCAAAGCATATCTTTAAGCAAATTCATAACAAACAGAGTTTAGCCTTGCCAACATGGAGACTTAAAAAAAAAAAAAAAAAAAAAAACCATTCAAAGCCTCTGGCCAGAAATAAAATTGTAAATGATTTTGGGCTTTCTAAAAAATGTATTCAAAATTTCTTACAAAACCATAAGTGTTCTTTCCTTAAAAATATGTTCCCTAGTAGAATACCAAACTAGAAAACAGACCACATTTTTAAAATGACTCTTCAGTTTGAAACACTTTCCTACAGATTCAAGGAGATCAGAAAATTATGACATGGAATCCAAAAACAGAATGCTAGGAACCCAGAATAAAAAGTACACAATGTAAGAGACTAGCACCTAATTAAAGAACCATACGCTCACAATAATGTAAGAGAGCACAGCTATACAAAAATGTTTAAAAATAAACACGGAATACAATTTAAAAAGCAAAATGAAAAGTGGCTGCATTTTCATAAAAGGACATAAAAATTTTGTGAATAATGTAACTACTACGTAAGTATTGTGTAAACCTTCAGATTTTGGTTACCTTTTTGGGGAGGTTTAAGGTATTGTTTTTAACCTTAAATTCCTTACAAAGAAATTTGCCTTCTTCATAGTACTTCATGTTTTTTCCTTCATGGAAATAGTTGTTGGCATAGAAAACTACCAGAAGTTTTAATCAACTAATTTAATCTTTCATGCTTTAATGAAGATTTGAAATGTGTAAACCTTTGCTTTCCACAGAAATCAATTATTGGTAATACATTGTTATTTTCCTTTAGCAAATCAAAGAAGCATTTAATCCCACATTATAATACTAAAGAAAACATGATATAATTTAAAAATTTATTTATACCCTAGTTTAGGACGATCAATTGACCTCTATTTCCACTTGAAAAAAAAAAGCATGAGAAAAGGAGGTTTCTACTAGTTTACTCTCCAAAAGAGGAGGGAAAGTGGCTCTAGAGACCAACTCAGAAATTACAGTTGTCCATCATTGGCTGGAATGTAATTCAGGAACTGTTGCTTCTTCTAATTCCTGTGGTTTGTCACATTTATTGCTTTCTTTGCCCCCTTGATATGTACGAAGCTGCTCCAGAAAGCCAGCATTGGGACATATGGAAGGCCTTGCATTTTTCACCAAAGAAAAAGCACTGGTAAATGAGATCTCTTCAGAATTCATTAGGAAGCCTATTACAATTGCAGCAGCCCTGGAAACTCCTGCATTACAATGAACAAGAACCACTCCATCCTATAATAAAACCAAACAAAAATCTTCATTATTTATTTAAGAAAAGTTGTACTGAAATCTTATACTATTTAAAAACTATAAGATAAAAATATTCACTTCATCAATTTATTTGACTCAATTTATTCAATCATCAGAAACCAATGCACTGTAGGGAATAAATGGAAAAAAAATCAATTAATCAACACCTTTTCCCACTTCCCAGGTTTGAAATGCTTTGATGATATATTTGGAATTCTGAAATTATCTTTTATTACCCTGAAGTAATCTAGTAAAGTACACATAAAAGCCTAGTAACTCAGTAGCCACAGGCCTATAAATAAGAGAAAAATCAGAGGAAATATATGTGGAAATATAAATAAAACCACAATCATAAATTACACAGAAAGTTTATATACTAGGTACAGGTACTGTTCCCATAAAGAAACTAGTACCACTGGCTTAGAAATCTATCTATAAAATGATCAGTAAGGAAAACAATGTTCTTCTTTTGGATCTATTTTATTCTGGAGGGAAATAACCTAAAAAAATAGTTAAACTTATGAGGTAGTAAAATGTTGACTCAAATAGCTCACGACAACATGAAGTGGAAAAGGTAATTAGACACCAGCATGAGGTCAATAAATGCAAAACGTTTCAGGTAACTTGCAAATGATACTTTACAAGTGAAAAGAGACACAGTGCAGGACCGACGCTGATGGGGGTAATATTGCATTAATAATGAATGGGATATATCTGATGGATCAGCACTGATACAGGTTGGCTTATCTCAGGCCTGTTAAAAGTTAATGATCTTGATGAAATGTAATGAATGGTGAGCACACCCTACAGAACCAGACATTGCAGTTACTTCATTTCTTGATTTTTCTTTTTGTACAAACAACATGGGAACAGGGAAGGGGAGAAAAAACCTTAAAACTGAAAACTCTGCCCAAAGCATACATTAACAATGCTATGTTCATGGTTTATTAGATTATTTTACAAGGTAGTTCTTAGATGCATAAATCTGTTGCAAAATTCCTTTCCTTGGTCTACTATAACAAGTGTAACAAGTGTATCTCACTTCAAGAAAGAAAGATGATTCACAAGATTAGTTAATATTTTAAAAATTCTCATATCAAAAAGACAATTTCAATTGTTTATATTTTCAGAGTCATTTCCAGATATTAATTGTTTCTGCATAGGAAAACCAAAACAAAAATATTCACTCTGCATATACAGAACTTTTCTCACTTTGTACAATGGCCCTTTTTAATAATACTTAAGACATTTTAAATCATATTACGGTAACCAATGGACACTGCTAAGGAACTTCTTTTTAAAAAATAATTATTTATTTATTTGGCTGGACCATGTCTTATTTGCAGCTGGCAGTATCTTTAATCATTTCTTGTGGCACATGGGCTCCAGTTCCCTGACCAGAGATCAAACCAGGGACCCCTGCAGTGGGAGCTCAGAGTCTGAGCCACTGGATCACCAGGGAAGTCCCACTATTAATGAACTTCTCTTAACGCAAAACAAATTAGATTTTCCAAAGAAACCTGGGCTCATAACATTAGTAAGAGATACCCTCCAGTGTAATTTTCACTGTTTCCTGACTATGTATCAGTTATCGCTATCTTATGATCTACACATATGCTTTTGAAAATGAAACTAGCTTTATTTTTAGTCTTACAGTGTAATCAGTTTTAGCTATTATTTAATAATGTTAGTATTTTCTTCTCTCTTACATTCTTTATGTAACAGATACTTTTCTGTTAGTTTCTACAGCCTTTGAATTTATTTACCTCTTATTCCTTGGGTATCATACTGCCCTTGAAAGTATTTCCAAAGAAACTACTAGCTTCATATCCCCTTTCAAGAATTCAAAGTAATTACAATTAAATAATTTATAAAGCAATTTTTCTTTTGCATTTGCTATTGTCCTATGCTTAAAAGGCTTTTTCCTCTCCTTGGTTCAGTTAACCATGGCTTCTAAGAAGCCTGTCTCTCTGTATGAGAGGAGGGCAGGAGGAATATGCAAGATATCTTTTTATGCCTAGTACTTAGTGCAATTTTTGGCACATAGTAGGTATTCCATAAATGTCTGCTAAGCAAAAAAATTTTGCTATGCATTTTGAGAAAACATTCTCTTAAAAACTCATATCACCATTTTGCTATGGGCAGACAAGAATTATAGTATTTCCGTTTTATGTAGCCTGCTTTGTTCTCATGTCGTTATTAATAGCTTTTCAATTAGATGGCCAGCTCCTTAAAGGCAGCATCCTTTAGATACATGTATCCTAAAGATACATCCCTTCTATCTTCTCAGAATAAGTAACTCATATTTTTTGACAGATCAAGTTCAGATCTTTTTTAAAAAATGAGTCTTTTGATATATCGAAAAATACATTAAAATACTACAAGTGGTTATATGTATTGGTGAAAATGGGTGATCTTAATTTTTACTTATTTATACTTTTCCAATGTTATAAACTACTTACATGTTTTAAAAATCACATCTTAAAATTAATAAAGTAAATGTGGACTATCAAATACACATTTCATACTAACAAACAAAATCTTTTGCACATAAAAAAGGGGATCAAGTAAATACTCAAGTAAAAGAACTCTTGAACCTACGTCGGTTATCTTACTACTACCAGGTCATGTGTATTTCTGTCCCTTTGGACATAAGCCTGGCAGGTAACATATTAGGTGGAGATATAAGAAGGACAGAGAAACCAAACAAACAGGGTTTTATAACCACAGAGGAAAATGAGGAAAGACATGGGGAAATGAAAGACATTCTATTTGGCAGATATATGTGAAAAGACGAAAACAACAAACTAGAGCCGAGGAAGGTAGTTTTGAAATAGGCAATTCACCGAGTAATCACATTTAATAATACCTGAATATACAACAGGCAAAATCATGAAGAGATTTCTTCTAGGGGAAAAAAAAAAAACAGAATGAAGAAAATTCAAGAATTCTATTGCTAAAGTTAAACGTGCATTATCTAAACAATAAAGAGTTTCCAGGGTAAGGAAATAATGGCTGAGGCTAAGGTTCCAGTAAAACACACAAGGCTTGAGAAATTTGAACATATTACAGAATTCAAATGCATCTTACAGCAGAAACACTTCAGGCATCTCCTCAGATTCCCTTGATGCCATCACCACACGGACCCTCAGCTGGTTCCGCCTCGGCTGCGTCCTCTGTGGCTGACTGTTTCCCATAGGCCTGCTGAGCTCTGCTTGCCTAAGGACGCCTGGCTCTTCGCCCATGTCCGTCTCTGCACGGGCCGGTACACCCTGAGCTCTGGGTTCTCTTGCTGCTTCCGGACTTGGATGGCAAGTCACACCACAGGGCTTCAGGGTGGCTGCTGAGAAAGCGGGGTGCTGAAACCTGGAACTGTGGGGTTAGTTACCTCTCCACGTGTAAACTCTGACCAATGGGACACAGGAGCTGAAGAGAGCCAGGCAAGTAAATTCTCTCTCTTCTCTATCTCCCAAATCTGTACTGAGGTGCAGTGTCTTTGGATTCCCTGCCTGGGGAATGTCTTGGGTACCATCTTGCCAAGGAACCAGCTATTTCGCTATCAGCTCTTGGTGAAGCTGTCACTCAGCAGGGTAAAAACATCATTTTACATTGCTTCTCATCCTTTTCAGAATCACTTCCCTTTCTTCTCACTCTCACTGCCTAGGGACTGCACCTCTCAAATGGAGCATCAGCTCTAAATCCTTGCCTCAGGTTTTGTTTTCTGAGAAACCCAAACTAAGGACCACTTTAATTAACTCTTATCCCTTTCACTTTTTACTTGAAACATGTATATGTTTAATGTCTAATATGACATGTCTAAATGTCTAATATGAATATAAATATGAATAATGTTTACATTTTTCCATTACCATCTAAGGCATATTATGTATCTCCTTAGAAAAGCAGCTAACACAGAAACATTATCACTTTTATTTCTAACACTATTACCTGGTACACTGGCATGTGACAGTCTAGAATCTATATAATTTTTCACAAGCTAAAAGAGTGGCCAATATCAGGCTTTGAATTAGAAAACCTCTTCCTTTTTTTTTAGTCCAAATATCTACTATTAAATAAGGTTGAATAGTTTAATATTTTTCCAGCAATCTAGAGGAAGGGATCTAGAACAGTGTTGGGCATACAAGGCACTCAATAAATATTACTAAATGAAAGGAAGGAGTGAGGCAAGGAGATAAGGTAGAAGGAAAATCATTAGAATTTAATTAAGCTATAATGTTAACTATCGTTTATTGCCAAGTGCTCCATGACAGTTAACTTTTCTCTATAAGTGCTTCTACATTCCCATCTATTTATCTCACATAAATTTTATGAGAATTATATATTGACTAAAAATGATATAATTTCAAGGCATAATAATTGGTAAAGCCAACCTAGAAGCCCTGCCTGTCAAGAGTGTCTCCTTGGATCTAGTACCAAGATTAAAGTACTGTATTTTCTGTGGGTCTTCTAAAGTCAGAGAACCAATGGACAGCTTTTGATCAGCATTTTCAAACAATCTTAGTAATATTCATCTTCATAAATACACTAAGGACCAGAGCAGTCTCTGTTCCATAGTTCACCTGATTACCTCGCAAAGTGGTTAGAGACGATCAAAAGGAACCTTAGCATCGGGTTGGCCAAAAACGTCATTCGGATTTTTCTGTAAGATGTTACGGAAAAACCCAAACAAACTTTTTGGCCAACCCAGTTGAGCAGAAAATTTTAAATCCTAACATTTCTTAGGAAGGCATAGGAAGATGAGAAATTAAAGTTAAAAAATAGGGACTTCCCTGGTGGTCCAGTGGTTAAGAATCTGCCTTTCAATGCAGGGGATGTGGGTTCGATCCCTGGTTACAACACAGATCCCACATGCTATGGGGCCACTGAGCCCAGATGCCACAACCATTGAGCCTGTGCTCCTCAACTAGAGAGTCTGAGTGCCTCAAAACACAGAGCATGCGCACTCTGGAGTCTGCACACAACTGCAGAGCCTATCCACTCTGGAGCCCGAGTGCCCCAGCGACAGGGACGCCCACGGGCTGCAAGATGAGCCCGATGCCACAGTCATGGCCCAACACAGTCAGAGCAGGAACAGTGAGTAAATGCAAGAGAATAAAGTTCAAAGTAAGGACCTCATGGGAAGGCACACAGCTGGAGGACTGAACAATTATAGGAATTAACGAAATATTGTTGAAGGGGAAATTTCATAATAGTTCTTTCTTATTCATTACA